CTTGCTTTATTGTATATTCATCTAAAGCTTTCGGGTAGCACAAACTCTTCTACAGGAGTATATGATAAAATAAATCTTAATATTTACCTAAATATTTATATCTTATATTATTTTTACATTTTATATATTGTATATAGTAACTATTTAGTATTTTTATCCAGTATTTATAGGTAATATAATTACCTCATATGAATTTGAAAATGCAGTTACCTTCAATTTTCGCGGCACAATTATTTAAAGATGCATAAATGTATTGAAAGTGAAATTAAATTAAATAGAAATTAAAATATTGGAAATTTAATTTAAAACAATTTAAATATTCCAAAGTATTTAAAATCCAATCTATCTGAAATTCAATCGCTGGCTAACCAAACGAATGTGTAACAATTGTCCATCCTTCATTTCCATACTGTTTGTCTACACCAACTAATTAAGTTAGAATCGTCTATTTGCATCTATTTATTAATTGTGTCAGACGTGTCCACCGTGTAAACAACAATTTACATTTAATTCTTAAATCTTAATTTATCAAACTTCTGATTATTACAAATATTTACAACAAATATTCCCTATAATTACATTTATGTTTAAAGTTTAATAATTATTATGCTTTCTATACATTAACTATGTATATTGCGCGCGCATTATATCTACATATTTCTCTTTCTAATTGTATACTTTGAAATATCTCATTAGAGCGAAATATATTTATCTATTTTGATAGGTTGAATTTCTCTAAAAAAAAAAACAACAAAATATAAATTATTTATTCATCAAAATACATTCATATGAAATTGTTTGAAAGCATACTTTTGAATATATAATTGACGTATTTATATATTATATATAAAAGCTATATATTATATTACCTACTTATATAATAAAACATTAATATAATTTCTAATGTTTTTTTTTTTTTAATATAGAAAACTAGTTCTCCCTTTAGAATGTTAATGGTAATTTTAAAAAGGAAAATATTAAACTGGTTTTAAAAGAAACAGATTTGTGATTTAATCTATGGTAAAATTATAAAATTGCAATTGTTCTTATTATGAATATTCCATACTAACTCACCTTGTAAGACGAATCAAATATAATATCTAAAATAATGTAAATGAAAAATTGTGGGAACATTAAATGTAGTCTATTCTTCTTTTTTCTTTAAAATAATATTCAACAGTATTTAGGTTCCATCAAATAAATAAGTCGTATGCACGAAAATCCTTCAATTTATCTTCAATTTAAAAAATCTGATTTTCGCTTAACGTTATGGTGTTTGTATAAACAGAAAAAACAGAGTAGTTCATCTTTGAAACACAATATATGATGTACGAAAAGAAGTACCTCTCCCTTTAATTATGCATAAAAATAATGAATTATGTTTATCACTTCAGTAAAAACCTTACTAGTGGTGATAAGGAATGTGCCACGACACCCGTTTTTCCAAATTTAGACAAAAGCTAACCTTGTATACCATGGTTTCGGGCTCTGGCCCTCATCAGTACAGGGGTTGCTTCGATTTCATAACATCCTACGAGAGGAGTTATAAAATCGATCGAATTTACCAAAAATAATGCACTATTTTAATTCATAATTAAAGGTAGGTGTGTGTGCTTCGTCATATGATTCCCATCCTTCCGCAACTTTATGTTGTATTCTATCCTAAAACATAAAGTATATCGATTTAAAAATGCGAATAGCTTATATTAACAATTATTAAGCATTATAGTATTTTTTTAGAATTTAAGCTTACTTATTCGCTAAGTTTAGGAAGACTTCAAATGCAATACCACGCCAACAGCATAAAGAATAGAATAGAACCAATCCTTTTTCGTATTCGTCAGGCCTAGCAACTTCCATGTTGCAAAGTTCGCAGACATAGTTGTGACAAGTCGGACGAAGAAAAAAAGAAGAATGGCAACAACTCCAAGAGCTTGTCATCATTAAAATTCTACCCGGCACCAGATGCTCGCGTGGGGTGCACGCAGATATTTAAAGCAGCAGTATATCGCCACGACAAATATAGGTTCTCTAATTATTCACAGATTAAAAACTTTCAAAATATTTTATCGCATAGTTGCCTACCAGATTGCATCCCCCTTTGAAGTTTTTCAACTGCTCTCTACCCAATCGAGATGAGTATAGTACTAAAATTAAAGGCCGGGGAATGTGATGGTATCGAGACTGTACAGTGCTGGAATAAGCTGAACAATCCGGACGGACGGCCTCTAATAACCGGTTCTATCATTTAATTGCACCGTGGGAGGTCTGTGGTGCTGGTGGCTGACCATAAATAAATTTCTATTTGGTCACGTGACGTCGGTGGGAGATCACAGGGTTGAGAACCAAAGGAGGGGGGGACTTTCTCTTATTCATTCCCCTTTTTTGTCTAAATATACCTTTTTAATAGTAGCTCCATACCGGAATTATAGGCCGCTGCATAATCGAATGGGATACTCTTGCGAAATTGGATTTTCTTTTCTCGATTTGTTCTTCGAATATCGTAGAAATAAATAATAGTTTTTTACTTTCGTCTCATAGAATTTTCGTTGAGCAATTATTCATTGAGAATTCCTATTATTATTTTTTTTTATCAGAAAATATAATTAAAGGTGGGACAAGATTCAAAGTTGAACATGGCGATTTCGTGTATTTTTATTATATAGTGTTTTTATTATTATTATAAATGGAAGTGATTTTGTTGATTTATAGTGGTGGTAAACAGGATCCGGGTTCAAATCTTTCATTTATTCTGTTTTTCGAATAATAAATTGCTCCAATGGACTTCCTATTATTGATGAAATCACGTCATACACTCCAAGTATCTAAAAGTAATTAGGCACTTTTCAAATAAAAAAAATCAAATTGCGTCATTCTGTCTGGTTATAAAACATACCAATGGAATATGCATATATTTTCTTAAAGTAATTCACGGTTCAGCAGAAAAGGTTTTTTTATTTACACATTCTAAAAGTAATTGTTAAAACACATGCTGAATTACCCTTTTATGGACGTATTTGGAAACAGTAGTGCGGATATATGCATCTTCTTAAAACACGAGGTACAAGATACAATATTTGCAAACATGACTGGAAATCTGATCAAAATAATTTGTTTTTACGTCTTTATATTTTGTTATTCAAATAGTGGGAATGTGAATATTAACTTCAGGCACCCTACAATTTGTGAAAAATTAGTGCAGATTTCAAGTCAAGCAAAGATACTACCTCCTGTCTAGTTTCGAGTTTTAAGACGATATATATTCTTACTTGTGGTTTCAAATACGCCCGTAGAGAAAGGTATTATCTAACTCGAAAGCTTGTGCCTTTTGACAGTTATTGTTAAAATGTTAATGAAATTTTCTGCTGAAGCGTCTTCATACATATGGTGGTGTACTTAGAGTATGATCCCTGTCACGAACGTTTATACTGAGGGAAAGTAACACAAAATTATCATCCAAAGATTTAGGAAGACCATGTTCCTCAAGAAAAAAAAATACATCTCCTGATCGTGCAACTAAGTCAACTTATTGTTGATTTTTGATTCTTCCAGAAATGGCCAAATACCATTTCAAGAAAATCTTACAACGTGCGCCTTTGGTTTTTGGCTAATATTGGAATAATTAAAAATCAACGATTAGTTGATATCTATTCCGACAGATGGCGAAATCGATCAGCAACTTTTTGTTGCACGATCAGGAGATACCTTAATTTATATACCTGATCCTAGTACAATATCACCTTTGTACTATATTTCATATGCTCTTGAAATATTAAGATTATATTGTATTATAAAAAGATTATATCTCTCCGATTTAAAAAAAATATACTTTACCTAGCTAACATTTGAGCTAAAACTATACCTATAATTTTTAAAAGATTAACGATCTATGATATTTATATGTATTTTATAATATATGTTTAAATACGTATTATATACGCATAAGTTGCGAGTCTTTTTAAAACTTGTTATTGTTTTAACTCGAAAGCGCTAAACAAATGCATGTACTAAGTATCATTTTATAGTTGAATCTTATAATTTTCTTGAAGTTTGTTTTGACCAGAAAAGTTGGAACGGTGTGTGACGTGGCAGATTATCTGATGTGAACAAAGATGCATTAAACCTTAGAAAATTCTCACATGTTAAGGCGCGCGCGCGCTCTAATGTATTTTCCAAATTAAACTTTACACGCGATCCTAAAATTAAATATCGGTGTTGATGGTATTTTTGCTTTCTAAAAAAAAAAAAGAAAAGCAATCAACGTCCAAGTTATTTGATTGAAAAAAAAAACTAATGCATCAAGTTAATAATCGCCGATTGTTATTTCCATTGGTGCGTCTATACTACGTCTAGCCATTTGAGGTATTTGCTACATTTCAACCATTATTACCTATTTTTGTTTGGTATACCTCTAATATACTTGTTTAACAAGGGGTTCACTTCTCCTTATTTATTATTAAAATATAGAGATTATTCGAAATATCGCATGTCTCTCTTCACTTCTGTAACAGAAGATGTTACCTTGATGATTCCTATCGAAACCATTTTAAGGAGAATGAATGTGTTTATATTTCAAATCGAATAGAATTATAAGAAAACGATATTTTTCAATCTATCTCTACATTTGAAAACTTAAGATATTTAATTTTTAAATCAGATTTTCTCGATTAAAGTTCTCTCTCAGCTAAAAAAAAAATGTTTAAAATTATTTAACCCTTTGGTTTGCAAGTATAAACAAAACACGGCGCGTTTCAACATATAACCGTACATCACGTGTATATACTAAATTAATTATTTAATTCACATAAGCCTAGGTGTGGGATCAATCATGGCTTACACTCAGAATATATGTGGAGATATGTCTCATTGACTTAAGATGCTGGATAGAAGTTTAGGGTCTCTAGAGGGAGTTGCTGAACGGTCTGTGGAAAGAACAAAGTAGCAAGAAACGCGAGCGGTCATATGGATTGGGGTTGTGGGGGATCTTGAGGTGTTGAAACAAACGGCGAGTGGATCGATGGTGAGTCAGTAGGGACCGACCGTTATCTCCCTGACTGAACGCCCTTTAGTTCACACACCTGACTGGATGTACGTACCTGTCTGCCTGTTTTATATAACCGAATAACTTATTTTTTGTTCCTTAGTTCACACGCTTTACACAAACCACACACAAATCTTGCTGAAAATTCATTAACTTCCTTCTATATATATATTTTTAGATAATTAAAAATATATATATGCTTATGAAAATAAAGGTAGGCTCTTCCGTCAAAATAGGAGCTAAAACTAAGTGCAATCTCTAAACTGTATCCGCAAACTAACGGACTCAGGTCAGGACAAAGCCACAACTCCAGCTTTGGCTAAAAACCTCTTTAGCAGATTGTGAAGATTTCATTTGATTCCTTGTAGATCTCTCTCTCTCTCTCTCATAAAATATAAAGTCCACCTTTGATATTGACGGGGCCATTAGCCCAAACCATGGTCTCCAAGTGAACGCTTTCTCAGTTTGCCAAATCTGGTGTTGTGGCTTTGTCGCCGACCTTAGTCCGCTAGTTTGTGGAGACGGTTAATAGATGGCGCTTAGTTTTATTGACTATTTTGACGGGAGAATAACATTTCAGTATTCTAATAGAGAGCTAAATAATATGTGATCAAAAAATAACGATCCGAGTACTATTACGCTTCTTTTGGGGAAAAAAGAGCTACATGAAAATATGGCGACAAAATAAATATGCGAAGTGGAAGAGAAGGGAATAGTCAATATAAGAACAGCTTCAAAATGGTTCAAGAGATTTAGAGAAGAATACATCAGCCTTGAGGACAAACCTCGAATGAGGCGACCACATGTGACGGATAGTTGAGACTCTAGATTTCCGGTGATGGACAACCCACAACAATCTACACGTGAAATGTCAGCCAGACTTAGACCATCCAAGATACGATAAACCGAACTCTGCATAAGCTGCACAGCTGCACAAGATCTTCACGACTCGATACCCTGCTTTGATCAACCAAAAGAGAGTACTCCTGCAACATGACAACGCTCCAGCTCATCGAGCTAGGTTAACAACCAATAGAATAAAGGGAATGGAGGGTATTGAAGTTATACTTCATCCTGCTTATAGCCCGGATATTACGCCATCTAATTATGTATTATTTCGGTCCATGGCTACATAAAAAAAAACAATCAAAGACGTTGAAATTGCCTGTCGTGTTCGACTCCAAACCCCGAGAATGGATCGTCAGCAAGTTGAAAACCTAGCAAAAAGATGGCTGGCTGTTATTCAAAATGACAGTATCTACTTCAATGAATATATATTTTTGGTTTATATATTATTTATAATGTGTGTGTGTATTTCAAAATAATTTTTATGGGAACGAATATAGAGCCTATATATATTGCATAGCGCCGCGCGCTCAGAAGGTTGTTATCGACACCTTAAATGTCGCAAAGTTAGCGCCATAATCTCAACAATTCTCAACAAGATTACACGGGCCGTATCGACAGCACGGACCATCTCAACAAGATAACACGGGCCGTCCCGACAGCACGGATTATTTCAACAGGATAACACGGACCATCTCAACAAGATAACACGGACCATCTCAACCGGATAACACGGACCATCTCAACAGAATAACACGGACCGTCTCGACAGCATGAACCGTCTGGACAGCACGGACTGTCTCGACAGCACGGACCATCTCAACAAGACAACACGGACCGTCTCGACAGCACGGACCATCTCAAAATGATACCACGGACCAACTAAACAATAAATTACGAACCATCTCAACAAGATAACACGGATAGTCAAAACAAGACGACACGGACTACCTCTACAATATATCTTAAACGAATCAACAATATCCTTAAGAACGATACACAAAAGGACACTATCAATAAGAACAGCAGACTATCTCAACAAGATAACACGGACTACTTCTCAAGACAACTTGACCGAATTAACAAGACAAGGACACTATCAACAAAATAACAAGGACCGTATAAACAAGAAGAAAGAGAACAACCAACCTAATTGGAGGAGAGCCTGTAAAGTTGCGTTATGAAGGCCCAGTAATCCCCGCGAGTGATTAGCATCCGCCCGCCGCAGTATATAAGGAAAGTCATCGAGGAGCTATGAGGCTCATCCTCAGATCATCATCCCCCATCAGCTCTCACGTCCCTGGCTCCAACCTGTGCACACCTACACTCTTGGATAACTCTTTGGATAACTCATGAACGCGGCGGTTACCTCCGCTTCTTCTTCTGCCCCAACTCTCCAAAATGGTGAGTCTCACTGGGTCACTCCTTCTCCTGTAATACCTATTGCTTCCAACATGGCATTTAGGGAAGGGTGGGATGAAATCGACATGTCCTTCAAAGGTTGCCGCCAAATACTGCAACATGAGGTAGGGCTAAGACTCAGCGGGGATCTAGGTTCCACAGAGAACAAAGATCTACACCTAAAAATAGATGGGCTGCTCTACCAGCTCCAAAACACCGTTGTGAGCATCCTTCAGAGTAAGCTGAAGGGCTGCGATCTCAAAGTCGCAGAAATCAGAGCTGAACAATCAGCCTCTAAAAAAACAACCGTCGCTCCTACACCTTCTCCCAAACCAACCCCAGTGGTGACAAAAGTCACCCAGCCAACCAATGCAGGTGCTAAGCCTGCCAAACCAACTAAGCCCAGTTACGCGCATATGCTGCGTAACAGCACCAACCACGTGAAGCTCGCTTCCGCGGACCTCACTGTTAGCGAGATTAGGGCAAAAATCGCCCAAACTCCCAGTCTAAAAAATTGTGATGTAGCTGCGGTGACAGGGGGGGATAAAAAACTTGTCCTCCACTTCACCAACCCCTCTGAAAAAAAAAGAGGTTTGTGGACAACGTTAAGTCCGCCAATATTGGTGGACTTAAAGTCCAGACAAACCTCACATTCAAGCCCAGGCTTGCTATCTTCGTTATTCCCGGAGAGAAAACTGAGGAGCAGCTTGTGGCTGATATTAGTAGCCATCCCGCTGTCGAAAAGCTGCTGAAAAGTGGCGAAAACATCAGGATGGTGAAATTGATTAAGAAAGAGGGTGCCCTCTCCACCGCGATAGTTGAAGTAAATAAGGATGTAGAGACTGCATTGCTCGAGCGTGGTAGAATCACGATTGACTTCCTCTCGCCGAGACTCGCTAGAGCAAAGCGCGTCTTCCCATGTGGTGTCTGTGGCAGTTTAAGTCACAAAACCCACACCAACGGAAGGAAGTGCACTAGGGCGGCTAAATGTAGCCACTGCGCTGGTGCACATCTTTCCGAAACCTGTGAAAACAAAACAGTGTTGAAATGTCACAGGTGTGGTGACAAACACAGTGCCAACTCCATGGCGTGTAAACACATGCGGGAGGCACAGGATAATTTCAATAAATTGTTGGTAAGATGAACGTTCTCAAGTGTGTTCAAGCCAATTTAAGACGCTCTCCATATTGTTTGTACTCCTTGTTGAATGAATGTCGCGAGGAAAAATCGGATGTGCTATTATTGCAAGAACTCCCAGTTTCCAAAAACAATTTACCGTCATTACTTGTGCCCCTTGACAGGGTTTGACACGGTCCAATAAGCGAAAATAAATTGGGAGCGGCTGTAATAATAGCAAATCCGAATTTAAAATTCATACACTTGTCTCACTTGTCTTGTGTGAATGCTGTATTTGTCCTGTGCGAAGTGAATGACTTGTCAATCCTTCTGTGTACTGTTTATCTTTCACCATCACGTTGTTCCGATGCTCTTCTTGATAAGATAGACAACTCTTTAAAAACAATTAATTTCCACGAGGTGATTTTTTGCGGCGACTTTAATATTGAATCCTATAGATGGTCAAATAAAGCGCGGTTGCTTAAATACAAATGCACTAAAAGAGAAAATATCGAAAACTTCCTTGACGCTAACTTGCTCCACGTTGTCAACAAACACGGCACGATCACGTGGGAGGAGGGCGAGAGGTCCTCCTCCATCGACGTCAAGTGTTGTTCTGCTGGCCTCGCGGACCGGATCGCCGATTGGAATGCAATCAACCAGGCTTTATCTGACCATAAACGCCTCGTGTTTAACGTTAATTTTGAACCCCTCTCTTCTAACAGCAATAACGACATACACGTAAACAACTTTAGCGAAGTACACTTCGTTTTAAAGCACTACTTCGGCCGCGTCCCGCCCGATACAACAGTAGAGCATGTTAACTTGCATAAAGCCGTGCAGTCCAGCTCTGATAACGACCCTCCGTTCTCAGAAACAGAGCTGCTACTGGCTGCGGGTAAGGTTCGCCTAACCTCTGCTCCTGGCAGTGATGGTATGCCACCTCTTGTCATTGTTAAATTAATTAAAAAATTTCCGACGTTCTTTTTAAAGATTTTTAATAGGTGCTTTGAAACTGGACATTTTCCAACCCCTTGGAAACTGGGTGATGTAATACTCATTCCCAAAAAAGGTGGTGAGGACTTTCTCGCGTCTCATCGGCCCATCACGATGCTGCCTGGCTTAGGTAAAATTCTAGAGCGTCTTATCCTGGCCAGGCTCTCGTGGCGAGCTGAGAGGATGTGTAAAGCCCAACCAGTCCTTGGGCCGTTTCTTTGGAACCTTGTCTTTGGCGAGCTCCTCACGCTCAACTTTAAAAAATGTGTTTACCCGCAGGCCTACGCCGACAATCTTGTTATGGTGGTGGCGGGCCAAGTTGCAAATCAACTTGGAGCGGCGCAACTTGCCATTAACGAGATCACGAGGTGGTGTGGCCTGCATAAACTGGAACTTAGCGTGAGGAAGTGTCAGGCCATGCTCCTTCTAAGACGTACTGGCAGACAACTAAAGCCTAGCTGCGATCTGACCATTAACGATCAACCCATCCAATGGAGCGACTCAATCAAAGTGCTGGGAGTAAGGTTTGATCAGCGTCTCACCTTCCACCAACACGTGAAAGAGGTTTGCACCAGAGTCCGCGGCTTTCTCCCGCGTTTGACAGCAGCTGCCAACTCCAATTTTGGCTTTGGGTTCCGTGCCCTGAGGATGCTTTATCTACAGGTCGTGGTTCCAGCCATCTCTTACGCTTCTCCTGTGTGGTTTTCCAATCTTAAACAACGCTCCTTAAAAACTCTCTTAAGCGCGCAGCGCCCGTTTCTCATCAGGACATGCCGCGCGTTTAAAACAACTGACAACAGCTCTCTCATCTCTCTTTCCCGTGTTCTCTCCCTCGATCTGGATGTCGGCGCAAAGGCGGAATTGTACTTTAAAAAGCACAGTTTTGTTGACGCTGAATTTCCAGTCGAGCCTCCTCCCTTCTCTCACCCACTTCCCTATCCTCCCTATTACTCCGCTCCCATTAATATTCCTGATCTTTCGGCTGACGTCACCTACTACACAGATGGTTCCAAGACGAAAACTGGAGTTGGCACAGGCCTATATATAGTGTATGCAAATGGCTCCATGAATAAATTGCGTGAGAGTTTTGTCCTGTCCCCGTACTGTTCTGTCTTCCAAGCGGAGGCACTTGGCTTGATTAAAGCACTTGAGGACGCCTCAAAGCTTCCCGATAATTGCACTATTGAAATACTCCTGGATAACCTCTCAGTTGTGAAATCCGTTCTAAACTCCAGAACAGGCAACCTCCTGGTCAACAGGGCTTTTTTGCTGATTTCGCAACTGAACCGCAATGGGAACAGATGTACCATACAATGGATCAAAGGCCACAGCGGGATTTTTGGTAATGAGGTTGCTGATGTGCTCGCGAAACGCGGGGCGAAATCTGATCTCCCGAGCTGCTATCGCCTCGCACCGCTGTCGAAACTTAAATCGACAATCTACATGCGGGCGTGGGCAGCTTGGCAGGACAGGTTCATCTCCGCCGAGCGCACAATCTTCACCCGCTTTGGTCTTTCCCCAAAGAGTCTCTTGGACAAAAAGCATGCGTATATCATCCCTAGTGTCCATGCCGTGATTGGCCTACTGACTGGACACACATGGACAGACAGCTTTGCTCACAGACTTGGATTTATTGATGATCCAATCTGCCCTTTCTGTGACTCTGGAGAGGAGGAAACTCTGGAGAATATCATGCTCGAGTGTGACAGTCTGGACTCACTCAGAACTCGTCTACTATTTATAGCGGGGAGGGAACTCGGTTACACGCCGAGGGCGCTCCGCGACTTCACCCACAATTGTTTAACCTGGCGAGCCTGTATCGATTTTCTCCTGGCTTGCGACAGGCTAAGACCGCGGATCCGAGAGGTGGAATCAGAGGAGGTTTCCGACTCTAATTCCACCTAAACTTTACATCAGTGTTGTTACTTGCATATGCGTGTATCACTAACTATGTATGCGACGTCAAACTTTTAATTTGCCAGTTGGCTTGCGGACGGGATTTCACCATGCGCCGTTTCTAATCACCCAAGGGTTAGAGGGCCGCGGTCGAAATTGGACGCCGCACGCTGATTTGTCGATTAATCGCGCGACGTCACAACCGGGGGGTTTTGTGGTTTGACGGCCGCTCATTTTCATTGGTTGGCAAAAGATGCGATTTAGTACTTCCAGATTTTGTACTCTGAAATTACCTTCTCCTCAAAATAAAAAAAAATTCTGGTTCCTTTGATAAGGTCCTTTTTTTTTTGGATTTCTTCTACACCAAAATCCCCAGGCGCTGTGTTTTCTTCTCTTTTTCCCTATTATTTCTATCCTGTGCTCTTCTAATTTTTTTTCTCTCTTTTAAATCTTTTATTTATTTTTTTATTTTTTTTTATTTATCATTATTACATTTTTTTTCTTATCATCCTATTTACTTAAATTCATTTATCTCTTAGTTTTATTCAATTACTACTATTTTTATTTTATTATTATTATTATTTTTATTAATTTTTTTAAAATTATTATTATTACTATTTTATTTTATTTTATTCTCTTTCGCTCCCTCTTCTCTGTTTATCACAATTGCTCTCTTTTCTTAACTTGAATCCTCTTCCTCTCTTTCCCTCTGACCCAGGGATACTCACCTATGTTCTTTCAGCATTAGCACGAATCAGATCCTCCAGGGGCACCTTGGGGGCGCCGCGCGTCTCTTCGTGGATGGGGCCGGAGTTGCGTTTCGAGCCGCCCCTGCGTGCGGGACGGCGGGTGGCGGGCTTGGTGATTCCTTGGGTGTTTTCACGGGGGACTTTGCGATGGCGCTATCTCTTCCCGGGTTACCTGCACCCTTTGCCGCAGTCAGTCTGATTCATTTCAGTCCAGTAGTAGAGCTAGAAGGCCATCCCATTTGGTCAATTAGCTGTAACCATAATCAGTCAGAGCTTTGAGGCAATTAAAATGAAGATGGGTAGCGGGGGAACACCCCTGGGCTGGCTCCCCGGCATACAAATGGCGCCGTTTCCATATGGTCTAAGTTATTTGCGGTGAGAGACCACTATTTATGGCGCTTCTTCAATTTACATCGCTGTTTATTTCCCCTCATGTCTTTCCTCACTTTCCTGAACAATTATTTAAATCTCTCAACATGTTTTATAAGATATCCCATGTAATAAATTCTTCAATTTAAAAGTTACGTTTATAGCTAGATGTCTATGGAGGAATCGACTAGATAGCCAGGAGCTGGCACAACTTCTGAAAAAATCTGTAACAGTTAAAATGCTAGTAAAGTCTACACAATCTGGGATTTATCTAGGTGAAGTGTTATTACCGTCAAAAGTAACCGAGGTTCAAATCCGCGTTGAAGTAGATTTTATAAGAAAATGCTTCAATGTCTTAATTTTTACATAAGTTCAACACACAAATAAGTGCAAGTAGTCAAACGGAGTCTATGGCACCTTATAAATTGAAATTTGAAATTTTACTACATGTGTTGGCATGTGGTGTACTTATAAGCAGTACAGACATCCACTCTCATAATTATTTTCATGAATAATTGAGATATGATGTGCTAGCATATATAAGACAAACGGACATAAACATCGCGGTGGGAAGAAATTAACGACTGTTTGTGTTCTGCAAATGGAGCGAATGCCAACACAAGTAGAATCTAGTCTGATTATTCACTTATTTATATATAACCTTTTTTGTTCAGCTTTCCGTTTGGTTAATTGTGCACACGATGATATAGAAATTTGACAAGAATCGGGCAAACCCGAAATATTTTTATTATATTAGAAACTTATAAAAACGCATTCAAGGAGTAATTGAGAGAAAGAACTTGGGATTCTCAAATTCTGTAATGTTGGATCAGCAAGCCGAGAGAGAGAGAGAGAGAGAGAGAGAGAGAGAGAGAGAGAGAGACCAAACACTGGCATCGTCTTAATTTGAAATAATTTTCAAAATACAACCACTTTGTCTCTATCAGAGATAAATCTGAAAATAGAGATAGAGTTGAAAGCCAATAATTCATTATTTAATAATATTCGGGTTTTAAAAATAAGTCAGCGGACCTGCACTCACTTCAAATCATACGTATCAGGAAATATTGGTTTCGAAAAGTATCGCTAAATTGGAATAATTCCTGGTTGGAAGATCATTTAAAACTTCATTAAACTTTTGTACTCTATGGACGACGTCAATAAATCAGCTTTCTCAATCCTTCAGAGTTTTGACGCTCAGACTCCTATCTGAAGAATTTGAAAAACTAACTGAGGCAATTTTCGTTTTTGCTTCCGAATGTTGAATATGTGTTTATCTTTGAATAAAGGTCCGTACCAACTGTAAATCTCTTCAAACTCTACTAATTATAGAATTGTTCGCGTATGCAACACTTTCTTGTTGCATATCTTAAAGTAATAAAGCAAATTTAAATAGGTAATCTATATGTTGTCTTCTGGCAGCCGTATTTATTTTTCTCGTTTTCTGACTAGATCAATGCTGTAGTTATAATTTATTTCAGTTTTGTTTTCTCACTTTTTAATCTCTCTCTCTCTTTTTATGATTATTATATAATACCTCCATTGACTTGTGTATGATGTTAATAAAATATTTCAAATCTCAAAATCTCTCTCTCTATATGTTGTAGATAAATGATAAAAATAACTTTGACTTATGCTTAAATAATAGATAGGAAATCTTAGTTTTGATAAACAATCTTTAAGATAAATAACTTGGCGATAATAAAACTTATAGATAAAAAACTTGTTGGTGATCAAACTTATAGATTATAAAACGTGTTGGTATTCAAACTTTTAGATAAAAAAACTTAGATATAATAAAAATAAAAATAAAAATAAAATTGGACTGGGCTCGCTAGGCCTTCTCTCCTATTCTCACCTAAGCCTGATTAGTTTTAACCTTAATTTTCTCCTGTTAGTCTCCATTCCTTCTATCTGTACAGTTGCTATACTTTATTAGATTCTTACGCGATACAGATTGATGTTACTCGAGCCTTTCTAATTGCAGTAAATAACAAGTTATATACAGTCACGTGGTGGAACATGTGGTAGTAGATATCTGGACTATTTACAACAATTCCATGGTCTTGAATCATCACAGATGGCCCCGGATGTGAGAGGGTTCATATGGAGGGATTTAAGAGACCGGAATAGGAAGACTGTTATTAAGGAAGTAATTTTTTAAAAATTAATTAAAATGAGTTGGTATATAACATGGGGTTGATTTCTGTATATCCATAAGAGACAATAAAGTATAAACAACTAATACTAAACATACAAATAAAAACAAAAATAGGAATAAAAGATTTAATAGAGAACATATAATGATGATAGGTAAAAATATAAATGATTGGATGGGTAAATCATGATCTCTTCGTGATGGACGTTAGAAAGGGTTGAGGCGTTAGTTATTACTAGGTTGAGGCAATGTCACCTTGACTCAAGTCCCAAACCATTTAATGTGCACGGCGCGGAAAACCTAGGCCATGTTTCACATGTAAATTTAAGGACCGAATGAAGTTACAGTACCACAATCGAATAGTAAGATAAGGGTGATTGTTATGGGTTTTAGTAATTAGTCGTTAAGACGTACGCATGCAGGATAAATGAGGGCGAAGATCAGTGACCAGAAATCAAAGTTTTAATTGGAGTCGTCAGGGGCTTAGCGAGAAAAAGAGTGAAATAAAATATGTGCCAGGGTGTGGCATGAGAGTGCCCTGGAATATATAAAAAAAATACAATTTGCACGTGTCCAAGCCAGAAGTTGGGATAGGTAAATCTGGGGGACGGTGTCAACGGTTTGAAAAAACACAAACACGGATACCACCATCATGGTGCTGCAAACAGAGCCTGAATTCTCTGAAAACTCTACCTCAATCCATTCCTGCTTTCGTGTTCGTCGTTCATCACACCATTGAAGTCACTTCTGTATGTGATGTAGCGTCAAGAATAGCCAAAGCTATAGTCGCCAAGTCCATGCTGCTGCAAACGTCGTTGAACTTTTCGTGCAAACATGTTTGACTTTCAAACGACCCCATTACTTAACTCAGGGCCGCTGAGATCCAGCAAATCGTTCCATATTCCCGTCCTGAACCCATCGATTCCCTATTCTGCTAACAGTCATGGGATCTCGAACGACGCGAGTAGAAATAGAGCAATTCCATAAACCGCAATCCCAGTAGACTCTACCTCTATTAAGCTTAGAAGCACAACGTTTAAAAAAAATATATGTAGAATATTTTCTTTTAATACATTATAGGTGTCGCTACCATCGCTTAATTTGCATAAATGCGTTAAAATATAATATTTTTCATATCATAGCATCTTTTTCCTATTATAGAAATGTCGCCTTCTTGTAGAAAATTGAATGGCCAGCTTCCAGTTTTCATTAAAACAAATTGTTTTAAATTGCTAATATTTAAAAAATATATATTACATATAGAAACTTGAGGAAAAATAGAAATATATATGTTTCTAGAAAAAAGACATTTCTTTGAAATTGTTGGTAGCGGAAGATGAAACAATGTAAATAACATCTAATTTATAACGTATAGAAATTTCAAAATGATAAATGTAAATTAGTGATATAAACATGAAACATAAACTTGAGATTATTAGATATGAACGATTAAATATAAAGTTGATTATAAAATAGTCATAAAGCAAAAGTAAAAAACAATTTGGTAAAAAGGAAAAAGTAACTAATATCGAATGACAATAGTCTGGGAGGAGTTTAAGTAATAATAATAGTATAATAGTTGATGTCAAAAGTGTCCATAGTGTATTATCCGTCATGAAAACTATCCAAACACACGGCATGACAATAATCTCTTAAACTGATTGGTTGAAGAAAACAAATATTATAAGAGCTAGCTAATGATTATATAAAGGATAATAAAATAAAAATGTCCATCGAGAAAGAAAGTAAGTAAAATGATATAGAAGTGATATATGCGGAAAAGAATGGAAATTTGCTCTTAGCTGGCCTTTAAGAAGTAGGTCAAGATGGATGTTCCTGTTTTTAGGATGGGTGGAGAGAGCTTCAAATTGTCCTCGGTTGCGATAGCTTTGGTCTTGTTGGCATAAGTTGTTCTAACTTATCGAATTTGTTTTATGTCTGGCGCGGCTCGTGGGTCACATTGTTTCCAACTGTGAAACTCACTGAGTCCTAATCTTGTCGATTTTTTGTTCCCTGCGCCACGTTTAGGTGAAAACGTGATTCTTCCTAAAGCGGCATTTATATTGTGTGTGCAGGAAACACTGCGATCTATTCTAACCGATCAAGGGTTGTTTTTTTTTTAACATATGTGGGTGGGTGTGATTTTTGTAGGTAAAATGTTGTCCTTGGATCTAAGTGTCGATGTTAGGTGGACAAGTAAATCGAGGACGATAATTCATTAGTAAGGAGCGCTGTTAAGTTAAAGAGAGCGACGATATAGGTGCGGAGAAAGGTGAACACTTGTGATAAACTAGCTCTGAGTTTGGCGAAGGGAGAGAGAATCTAGACCTGGTGACTTGGGTTTGGGTTATTGATGAAAAAATAGATATTTCAATTCATTGGGGATCAGTAGGCGGGATTAGTTATTGAATTAATTAGTTATTCTGTTAGTGGACTGATTTGTTAGTGAAAGTAGAATGAACGAGTCATACAAGTTATTTGTAGCTAAATGGGGCGGGGAAGAAGTTTTTCCCGCCCTCTACAATCACTCTAGAGGGGAGTGAGTGTTGAGGCGTCTCTGCGTGTTGTCCTCCGTAGGGGTGCCACTGACTGACGTCCAGTGAAGCTGTAAGCTGGCCGTCTTTCCTTGGTTGTCTGGGCGAGGCACACGTGTCTTGAAACTCTTGGGTCTTCGCTCTGTGTGTGCGTCATTGGGAGCGCCCTTGCCGTGCGCGAAAATTGCACCAGGGCTAGGCCTG